CAGTTTGTCAGCTGGATATGTGTAAGTAAGCAAGCTCCATTCCCCTTTGTCTTTTACTTTTTCACAGGAAGAAGAGAAATATCATCTTTACAAGTAACAATTCTATTTGCCTTGTTATGGTAGGAGAGGAAGTTCTTGCCACACTAACTTGCAAAAAAAATTAAAAAAGGTGTGATCAGAAATCACCATTTTCAAGGGGCCTCCAGAGGAAGGCAGGAATCTGATTCTGTGTGGTGATCAGCACCCTTGGTTCTATGAAATTCAACACCAGTTTAGGGCTCCTGTAACACAGCAGGACCGAGTACCCAGACATCATAAAGCTCTCATGTCTGAGAAAGGAGTTCGACTCATTTGTTACATATTGCAGCTGGCATGGAAGGGTGCAGGCATGCAACTTGCATGTATTTACAGACCAGCCATGGCTCGAGACCACCTATATCCATAAAAGTTTACACTCATGAGTGTAAAATTTGTTCCCCTCTTTTTTTTTTTTTTTAAATTAGGGGTTCATTGACTTCAAGGGTTTAACAGTCCCTGAAGCAATCCTTTTAATATTTAGATGGAATTCATTTTGTTGCACAGAGGCTGTACGTATAACTGTGCCATCCTGTCATTCTTACCCTGTTCTTCCCACGACCTCTGTTTGTTTGTTGCATCAGTTTGTTGCATTTTCAACTGAAAGTTAACACATGAGTTGGCTCATACAAACCAAGATTTTCAAAAATGCTTAGTGATTTAGATGTCCAGAAGTCAAATGCTCCCAGAGCTCTCAACACATTTTCACGGTTGGCTTTATAGCTCAGGATTGGCACACAAAAAGGCAGGCATCCACAACCAGCTTGGCTCTAGCACTTCATACAACGTTGTCTTGACTCCCTTCAGGCTTAGGAAGGCTTAGAAACCAAGTCTCCCAGCTCTAGGGCAAGTACCTTGCTATTACACTTTTTGACAAAATGTTGGCTCCTGCTCCTCCTCCTCCTCCAATATAGGGTACTGAACTTTATATTAAATTGAATGCTGTTCTCAATTAAGACGTTCTGGTTAATGTTGGGATCTTCTCTCTAACTGATTTGCATCTCAGTGTGAAAGAAGCACTCCCCTTGAAACCCTGAGTCAGATGTCCAAGCTTTAAGGAAAAGCAGGACTTTGTATGCACCTCTGTGTTCAACATTTTGGCTACTTTCATGTAGCTCCTGGCTGAGCATCTCAATGATATGGATTACTCTTCAAAGGAATCTTGGTTTTCTGATTCCGATTCATTTTGCAGGAAGCATAGACACCTAGCGTTCTCAATTAGGACTGAACCCTTGGGGAAAGGTGTTTGAAATTTAGATGTTGTGACACCTAAGTTGAGGTACCTGGGAAATCAATTAGGGTTGTCTTTGTATTTCCTTCATATACCTATATCTCATGAAGGCTGTCAAACTTAATTACATCACTGCTGCTTTTACCAACTGATCTACCACTTCTACCCCAAGAGCCAAGGCCTAAGTCGAACTGGGTGAATAACAAATTACACTTGTCTCTAAATGTTACTAGAAATTCAACATTTCCTGAAATGTATTTAACAAATCATTTCTGTGGATAATTCTTTATCTGTATATTGTTCACCAGAAGGTTTTGCATTATATTTTACATCTAAAATGCAAGCTATTAATTAGACACATTTTTAAGGTTACATGGCATGTTTAGGCTCCTCGATGGTTGAGTCCAGTGCATGGGAAAAAGTTGCTTGTGTACTTGATCTAGTTTGCATGTTAAGTAGTATTTTCAATTTTAACTGCTACTCTTATCACTAAATTTACTCCAGGGAATTTTTGCAGTGAATATACACAAAAGGGATGTTGGATAATTTTGTAACAAAGTTTCTCCCTCCTCCCCCATAGTATTCTGCCAGTTTTAATTATCTGTTACACAGAAGTAAAAAACAAGAGATTCTCCATAAAGGGCTGTTTAAACAATTGCTGATTAAATCAAGCTGTTATCCCACCCCCAGCACTTACATGGTATAAATATGAAAGAATTCCATTTATGTCATCTAAACTACATGCATGTAACCAAGAAGCAAATCAGGTCTACTGCTCATTTAAACCATCTTATGATGCCACGATCAACTTTTTTTGTTTTGTTAGAAATACGTTACAAGGAACTTTAGCAAAAGATTCCCTCACAACTAGAGCCCCATTTGAAACATTAAAAACCTATTCAAATGTTACAATGACTTTTAATAAAAAAAAATAAATAAAAAAATGAAAAAGGTTAAAATGTTTGCAAAAGATCCAGATCATGACATAACTTTCCCACTGATACACACAGACATCTATAGTAGATACTAGTCCAAGAGGAATCTATATTTTTTCTAATCAGGCTCTCCATGGCAGACAGCAAACATTCCAAAAAAGAGCTTGGTGAGGGCCATAACTGAGAATTTTCAAGTAATATGAGAGCCTAAGCTGTTTGAGAGAAACATCATTGCTGTTAAAATTTGAGTTTTGCTTTTATTTTGTCAGCGTGTCATAATTGCATGCTGTGTCTTAACGTGAATCAGGCACATTCAAATTTCTGGCATGATCTGAAGTTCGCCCAGAAGGTCTATTCTAAGCTCCCTGTGTAATGAAATAAGAGCTGTGCATATGTCAGCATACTAAAGGTTCTGCATGCTGTGAAACCCAGTTAAGGAAGTTTCTCACAGGCTCTCCATGTTTTTATATGCAGAGTTCCAGAAACTCTGCAATGGTACAACAGTTTGATTAGAATCATAGCTTTGATTTCAGCTGACACAAATAACAGAGGCTTTAGTAGCACTTAACATTCTTTAAGCACATGGAGCCAATTACTGTTCATTTTAAATTATTTATATTATGCTAGTACTTGAGATCCCCTAAGTGGAGATCAGGAGATACACAGAAAGAGAGCACTTACTGGAATTTAAGATACAGTTAAACAGTGAAAGAAAAGATACTTAAAACAATACTTTATGAATAGATTATAAATAATTGGGTAGAGGAAGTTATTTTATAGGTCGGTATGATTAGTCATTAGGATCATCTTCCACATGCCTGAACCAAAGGGGAAGCAAAGTCCATTACAATTTCACTTTGACATTTCCAATTGATGAAAAGCCATTTATCAAGAAAAAAATATTTTTTCCTGAAAGCAGTTCTCTCATCCAGCCCCTGTCCAATGATCTCAGAGAGTGAGAGAAAGACATACAAAAAACTAGAACTCTTGGTTCCAAAATTATACCTTTTATTAGACCAACTGGAAAATGGCAAGAAAATTGTCCTTTTCTGCAAGCTTTCGGGATCAAAGTCCCTTCATCAGGCTCTGGGAAAAGTGTAGATGATACAAGATGGTAAAAAGTCCCCATAGGTAGGAAATAAACTTCATTTTTGCATAGAGGGAGCTGAAGACGGAAGGCTGTCCCTCTGGGTCCAGGAGAGTGTGTGAGCAGTGTTGATCTTTGATGTGTTGATCAGGTAGAATTCCTTTCCTGGAGGTGTCAGATGGCAAGCAGGGAAGCAAAAAAAACCCCTTCCTTGTTGTTCTGCAATGAAGTTTAAAAATCCAAAATAGATGGAATGAATTCTTGATTCAGAAAACTTTCAGTTTCAAATAATGAAAGTTCTCGTGAATTTTCTAACATGCTATATAGCTCAGGGATGCCAAAGATGCAGCCTGTGGGCTAAATACAGCCCATGGAGCTGCCTGTGGGTCTCAGAGCTGACCCCCACACTGCCTGCAGTGTGTGCTGCATTGGCCCCACAAGCCACTCACGGTGCCCACACAGGGCCAGACCAGGATGCACACTGCTTGTGGTGCCTGCATTGAGCTTGTCTGTGGGTCTGATCCAGCCCTACACCGTTTATCTAGCTCTTGGGGCCTTGTGAGTTTGATACCCCTGCTATAGTTTGATACTTCAGTCATGCATACTAATCTTTTTTCTATTTACTACTTTTGCTCCAGGAGGATTTAGTGCTTGTGAAAAGCTCTGGAATAACAGCACTGGAAATCAGAAGTCCTTTATATACCCACTGGACTAGAAGAGATTGTGTAGAAAAATCCTCCTCATATTTATTTCCCTGTCTATTTATTGCAAACCAACTCTAGTGGAAGAGGTTACTATGATTCAGTGTTCATTTATTCTTACTGAACCTGGCCTCAAAGATTCATAGATTGTAAGGTGGAAGGGACCTTGGAAGATCATTAAGTCCAGCTCCCTGCACCAAGCAGGAAAGATCACTGGGGTGAGGTGACCCCAGCAAGGTGACTGTCTAGTCTCCTCTTGAAGATTTCCAAGGGAGGTGATTGCACCACCCCTAGAGGGAGCTTATTCCACAGTCTGGACACGCTGATTGTAAAGAAGTTTTTCCTAATGTTCAGCCTGAATCAGTCTTCCAGGAGTTTGTGGCCATTACTCCTAGTTTTCCCCTTGGATGCCCTGGTGAACAGTTGCTCACCAAGGCCTTGATGTACTCCCCTAGTGAAGTGGTACGCTGCTACCAGGTCCCTTCTCAGCCTTCTTTTCCTCAGGCTGAAGAGTCCCAGATCCCTCAGCCTTTCCTCGTATGGCTTGCTTTTTAAGACTCTGATCATATGGGTGGCTCTTCTTTGGACTCCCTCAAGCTTGTCCACATCCTTGTTAAAGTGTGGTGCCCCAGAACTGGACACAGTACTCCAGCTGTGGTCTCACCAGTGCTGAATAAAGCAGAAGAATCACCTCCTTGGTTTTGCTGGAGATGCACCAATTGATGCATGCCAGAGTAGTATTTGCCCTACTGGCTACAGCATCACATTGCCAGCTCATATTCATACTGTAGTCTATTATTACCCCCAGGTCCCTTTCATTCATGGTGCTCGTCAGTTGGGTGCCACCAAGCCTGTAGATGTATTGGGGGTTGTTCGTCCTGAGGTGGAGCACTTTACATTTCTCGATGTTGAACTTCATCAGATTCAGCAGATAAAAATTCAAGGCTGTCTACCAAGATGACAGTTTTAGAGCTGTAGTCATTTCTCCACCTCTGAATAGACAGAAACCAACTAATTGTACCCAGGACAAACAACTAAAGATGTTAACATTTTGGGGTTCAAAGCATTGACTCTTTGAGAACTTTCTATTTTACCCCTGGATACATCCAAGTAGTAAAGAAATGTTTAATTTAAGAATTACTGAGAGAGAACCCAAGAGTCATAGCAATAGCCATATTAGTCTGAAATGAGGCAGAAGGCAGGGTGGAGAAACACCTTATAGACCAGGGGTGGGCAATTATTTTGGGCAGAGGGCTGCTTACTGAGTTTTGGCAAGTTGTTGAGGGCCACATGGGTAGCCCCACTCCTTGACAGATGCCCTGCCCCTTGGTCACCATCTTGGGACAGGAAATCCCGCCCCGTAGCCCCTGACTTTTGACACCAGAAGTCCCTCCCTTTGCCCCCTGAAATACTCCTTTCAGCAAGGCGTTTTGCCATCTCAGAACCAGAAAAATACCAAATTTTAATCTAAAAATTGAACATCTACAACATTCATTAATTTGATTTCAAAAAATATTTTTGTCCTGATTTACATCGTGTATATAGAGGTGAGCACACAATAGCTTAAAAGAAAACCTTACTCTTGTATATTGTGGGGGGGGCATCTGGGTATGTGGGGACTGGGGGTGGGTGAGTGAGTGCGTGCGTGCAGGGGTGGACAGTTTTGGGAGGTGAGATTAGGGAGTGTGTGCGGGGAACTGGGTGTTGGGGTCTGCATGTATGGCAGTTGGTGGGGTGGTTCATGTATATGGTGGGGTGTGCATGTGGGACTTGCCCCATGAACACACACTCTCCTTTTCCCTCACTGTACACAGTGCCTCCCTCACTGGGCGCGCGCGCGCGCACACACACACACACACACACACACACACAGTGCCTCCCTCGCTGCACACACACACAGTGCCTGCCTCCCTCACTGCGCGCACGCACACACGCTGCGCCTCCCTCACTGCGCGCGCGTGCATGCACGCACACACACACACACACACGCTGCACCTCCCTCACTGCACGCATGAACCCACACACACACACACACGCAGCGGCACCCTCACTGCCCTCCCTCACTGCACGCATGCACACACACACACACACACACGCTGCGCCTCCCTCACTGCTCACACACACACACACACACACACACACACACACACAGAGTGCCTCCCTCACTGTGCACGCACACAAACACACTGCGCCTCCCTTATTGCTCTCTCCATCTCTCTCCCCTCTTCCCTCATTGCACCCCCCCCCCCAGCTTCATGCTACCATGGTCCAACGATGGAGCCAGGGGCCACGTGGTGCTGGAACTGCCAACGGGTGTGCAGGGAAGTAGTGAAAGCGGCAGCAGGCAGAGGCTTCTGGTTGGGGCAGGAGGGGGCTAGGGGTAGTGCAGGGTGAGTCCAGCCTTGCTCCTGGGTCCTGCCAGCTTCCCCTGGGTCCTACTGCCCCTGGCTCCTGTCATCTTTGACAGGCAGCCAGGATCAGATAAATATTAAATTTTCTAAATTTTTTAGAGGCCCCGCAGGCCGGATAGTATGGCCTGTCAGGCCTCATTCAGCCCATGTGCCACATTTTGCCTGCCCCTGTTATAGACTCACTAAATCAAAGATGCCTAAGCTCACTTCATGTTTTTTATTCTTCACAGTGTCTTAAGAAATGCTTCTATCTTGAGGTCTGTTCCAATTAAAAAAATATTGGGTCTATCGTAAGGAGGAAAATGTATTCTTTCTGCTAGGAAGTATATTATTTCTGTTGTTACAAATCTGGCTGAATGGCAATTTCAAAAGGTGTGCATCTGTGTATGCGTTTTCAGCCAAATGGCTGAACCCACAATCACAGTACAGAAAAAAAGAATGACAATAACTCTGATGAACATTTCAACAGGCCTAGCTGTTGCTGTGCTCTCCTTGTGTGTAGCTAATGGACAGATCCTCTGCTAAAGTAAACTGTTATAGCTTCACTGACCTTGACTGAAGACCTGCCTAGTAGAAGATCCTTTTGTTTATTCGTCTAAACTGTAAAAGGAAAGAAGGAAACCTTAGCACAGACATCATACAAGTGGCACCAGACAAGAAAAAAAAACCACTTTGGTAGTGATAATATTGTATAATAAAATAAATGTCATAAGTAACATGGGCCTAAAGCCTACAAAAAATTACAGAAGGCAATAAATGTGATGTCAAATTCATTAATTCCATTTCCAAATGTATTTAAAGAACTACTACAATCATCCCAAACATTGGCCAACATCTTATGATGTTTAAAGGAAAGCTTTAAAGTAAAAAATAAAACTAGCTGAATGAAGCTGATTTGGTAGTCCTTGTCTAAAATCTTTAAAACCCAGGTTTAATATTACCATTTACCTAGAAGAAATTTCTGGATGGAAAGAACCAGTCAAAAAAAATTGAAAAATTGATTCGCCATTCAGATTTCAATATTTTGCTCAATATTATTTAGTTCTAATTCCCCAGTGAGGAAAGTTACAAGCTGTGCTCTAGGACAAATAGTCAGGGGGATCCCTCTCTCAAACATATTTGTGCTTTTTACATTAAAATGGTATTTGAGAGTCAGAAGAAACCTGCTAAATCTGTTCATCTGGATACAATTAAATGCTCTTTTTTTTTTGTTTGTTTAGTCTGGAGCAAGCAAAAATACACAGCTCCTAACAGTCTGTTTCTTTTCATTTCAGTTTTGTATGCATTTGGGACCTGTCAAGATCACCAAATGGGGCCAGCCCTATGCAGTACAAACTGAATGGATTATTTCACGTTAAACAGCACTGCATATTGTTACTTACTAACATATAGTGTGTTTAAATATCATGAGGGACAGATAGATCATTTTGACCTTACTTAAGTGAGCAATGCTAATTTCTCTACATGAGTAGAACTGTTCATGGCTTAGCTTTGGTCCAGAGTAAACAGGATAGATTTAGTGGTGCTCTGTCAAGTAAGGCCTGATCCAAAGCCCATTTAATTGGATCATAGTCATCAAATAACCACCTGACTTTTCCTTGCACAGAAGCTTTCTGCCCAACAGTTTCATAGATGATAATATTTAGCATGTTACCTCTTGGGGAAAAAAATAGTTCACAACTATAAAACTTTACAACTCTGCATGAGGTAGTTAAACATTATCATAACCATTTTCAGAGATGAAATTAAAGTAGGGATTAAATGACAAGCACAGCCCACAGGGGAAGTTAGTGTCAAATCTAACCTAAAGATTTGGAAAAGCACCTCATTCCAAGCCAAGCACTCAAACTAATGGACCAGACTTCTTCAATACTGTTAAATATCCCTCATTTCTCACTGCCACCTCTGACTCTCCAAAACTAATGAAAAATAGTACTAGTAAGAAAAGAGTGTAGAAGGGATATTAAGTTGATTTTACAGAACTCTTTCATGTATGCTTCCCAGCTTACTCCAGACAACTTGAGCTTTGTTGTCAGTTACCAAACAATATAAGAGTCTGCACAACCCTCCTCTCCTCCATGAGCAACACAAAAGGGATTTCATTCAGAGTCATCATTCAGCAGTGGGGCATATGCCCATCTGGAAAGCTTGTACAGTTAGTCTGAGAAAAGGGCAGAGAAAAGAATTGAATTATACTAGGTGGATACATAGGCAAAATTGAAGAACATTGTTTCCAACAAGCACAGTGCAGAAGCTAAGCTCACCCCCAGAAATTTGTGCAGCCCCTACTTAGTAGTAGATAACCCTCACTGACCTTTCCAGCATTTGAATGGTGATAGCTTTACTGACATGAACTGGTTACAGGACAATTTTTTCCAACGTGTGTTATGCAAAACAAACTCTCAGTGGACACAGTCTCCAAGTCTCTCATTAGATTACTGTGGCAGAAATGTTTACCAAAACCAGTTGCAAGAAAATATCACATTGTTTTTGTTCAAACTCTGCCACATCCCTCTCAATATTTCTGAACAAAATCTTATCTTGTTTTAAACTAAAGTCTATTGGTGGGGGGGGGGGGGGAGGGAAA